CAGGGAGAAAAGTGCACCAGTGAATGATTGGAAACCCTAAGTCTCTGTAAACCTTCATTAAAATTAATTTTAAAAAAAAGGAAAGGAAAGGAAAAAAGATTGCTATAGTCTGGGGTGGAGTCTAAGAGGAGCCCTGGTAGTGCAATGATTGAGAACTTGGCTGTTAACCAGAAGGTTAGCTGTTTGAAGCCATGCAGTGGCTCTGCAGCAGCAAAACATGGTGGTCTGTTCACGTTACAAGTTGTTGTTGTTGTTGTTATGTGCCATTGAATTGCTTGCGACTCATAGTGAACCTATGTACAGCAGCTCTAAACTCTCCTCTGTCCTGTGCCAGTTGCACTGTCTCTGACACTCCCATCCCAATTATCCCAGTCACTGAATTAATCCACCTCATAGAGGGCCTGGGAAGCCTAAAAAATCCCCATGGAGCAGTTCTTTTCCATCAGATGGGCTCATTGTGAGTTGGTGTGAGTTGGAATCAAAGCACTCAACAACCACAAGCTTGTTCAAGGACCACACTTCTCACATCTCCAGTGCAGGTGTTCTCAGCTGCATGTGGAGACCTGACTCTGCCCAAGATTGGTAACTGATGGCCCTTGACAGTTGTTGGCTGGACCGGAGACCCACTCATTATGCCCTGTGTCACTGCACAGTGGTTCTGCAGGGAGGAGGCGCTGTTTCTCAGGTTGTTTGGGAAACACAGGAGGCTATTTTTAGTTCAGACTTTGGTTTAATGCTCAGCCAGTGCATTTCACATGCAGCCACTACAGCCTGTTGGTGGAGGCCTGAGCGTTGCGATGATGGTGCCAGTAGTTCCCAGACGGAGACTAGGAGAAAGAGCCTGGCGATCTTGAGAAAATTCAGCCAGTGAGAAAGGCTGTGATCTGATCGGGAAGTGATGTCAGGATGGTGCCGTTCAGAGACCACAGCAGCTAACAGCAGCAGTGACGTCTTGTGAGAGGAGACCAAGATTGTCTTTGCATCCAGGAAACGGCCTTTCCAAAATCCAGTAATGCCTCATCAAGAAAACACAAGACACCATCTGTTTGTTTCCGGAACAGGCCCCTGATTTTTCTGTTGGTGTGAACGTTCTTCTCTCAGATACCTGATTGCTCTCCGTTTTTGCCTGATTGTTGTTGTTGGGCACTGTCAAGTTGGAACCGACACTTCGCTGACCTTCCGGTGGGGTTTCAGAGGCATTAAGCGGATGGGAGGAAGTTGCTCGTCTTTTTTCCGGGGAGAAGCTGGTGGATTTGAACTGCGTACCTTGGCAGTGTAATTCTTACCAATAAACCTCCAGAGCTCCCTTTTGTCTGATGAGGATGCCATTTCTCCCAGGACATAACTCTTTTTTTTTTTTTTCCTTTTCTCCTCCCGGCCTCTTTTTAAACAGTCCCTCGGCAAGGACTATCCACTTAGCTTTGTATCCAAAGACGAAATTTGTAGGTGAAAGGAGTTAGGAGTTAGCCTTCGTTACAGACTGGTTCATTTCAGGGTCGAAAATGTGGAACGCTTCACGAATTTGAGTGTCATCCTTGCGCAGGGGCCATGCTAATCTTCTCTGTATCGTTCCAATTTTAGTATATGTGCTGCTGAAGTGAGCACGTCATAACTCTTTTAAGTATCCAAGACCTCTTTTCTTTAATACTTACAGAGTTGTGGGGTTTTTTTGGTTTGCTTTTTTATCAGATCCGTGTAGAACAAAACTCATTCTTTTTGTTGTGGACCCAAGGCCAGGCTGATCAATCCCATCCTTGCCCACCTGATATTAAAAAAAAAAAAATCCCAAATCAGGCCTCTCTTCATTCTGAGGTTTGGTTTTTAACGGTTCTATTTTTAAAATATGAAATAGTGTCTTCATTATTTTTAATTGTCTTTATTATTTGATACGTAGTGCTCTGGGGGCATAGTATGTAATGTGTTGGATTGATAACCAAAAGGTTAGAGGTTCAAATCCACCATCGACTCTGAGGGGGGATGATGAGCCGTCCCTCCCACTAGACTGGATTCGCAGTCCCCTTCCTGTAAAGCCTCGGAACCCTGAGGAGGGTTCTGTGAGTCAGACTTGAATTGATGGCAGTTATTTTGATAAAGTGCTTGAGGCTTCTGCTAACTGCAGTACTCCTGGGCAAAGAATGAAACATGGTTCCCCTACCCTTCCTCCTGGTAGGTTTTCCTTCCCGGAGGCAGCAGCAGCTGTCCTGCTTTAGGGTTGTGTCAGACTGGAGTGTTCTTCCCAGAATATTTTAGACTTGCAGACATTCATGTACCTATAGATGCTCTTTGAGAGATGTGGGGGGTAGTGAGGGCTAAAGGCTAGTAATGGTGACTTTTCTAGCCTGATGTGGTAGATTGGAGGGGGCCACGTGTCATTTTGTGCAGAGGTGTCTCATTCTAATTAATCAGACCCCTCCTATATTGTGGACCTCACTTTTGTTACTGGACCCTCTCGGTATGTCCACGAGATTGATGGTTCAGACCACCTCCAGAGTGCCCTTGGCAAGACCTGGTGATCAGATTCCGGAAGATCAGCCATCAGAACACCTCTGTGGAGCAAGCCTGGTTCTTATGGAGCAAGCCTGGTTCTTATGGAGCAAGCCTGGTTCTTATGGAGCAAGCCTGGTTCTTATGGAGCAAGCCTGGT